AGATGCACTAGAAGACAAAAAAAATGCAGATGTAATATATACAGACTTTGCAAAAGCCTTCGACAAGTGTGACCATGGCGTAATAGCGCACAAAATGCGTGCTAAAGGAACAACAGGAAAAGTTGGTAGATGGATCTATAATTTCCTCACAAACAGAACACAAAGAGTAGTAGTCAACAGAGTAAAGTCTGAGGCGGCTACGGTGAAAATCTCTGTTCCACAAGGCACAGTACTCGCTCCCATCTTGTTTCTCATCCTCAAATCTGACATAGGCAAGGATGTCAGCCACAGCACCGTGTCTTCCTTTGCAGATGACACCCGAATCTGCCTGACATTGTCTTCCATTGCAGACACTGCAAGGCTCCAGGCGGACATCAACCAAATCTTTCAATGGGCTGCAGAAAACAATATGAAATTCAACGATGAGAAATTTCAATTACTCCGATATGGTAAACATGAGGAAATTAAAACTTCATCAGAGTACAAAACAAATTCCGGCCACAAAATAGAGCGAGAAACCAACGTCAAAGACCTGGGAGTGATCATGTCGGAGGATCTCACCTTCAAGGACCATAACGTTGTATCAATCACATCTGCTAGAAAAATGACAGGATGGATAATGAGAACCTTGAAAACTAGGGATGCCAAGCCCATAATGACACTCTTCAGGTCGCTTGTTCTATCTAGGCTGGAATATTGCTGCGCACTAACAGCACCTTTCAAGGCAGGTGAAATTGCTGACCTAGAAAATGTACAGAGAACCTTCACGGCGCGCATAACGGAGATAAAACACCTCAATTACTGGGAGCACTTGAAGTTCCTGAACCTGTACTCCCTGGAACGCAGGCGGGAGAGATACGTGATTATATACACCTGGAAAATCCTAGAAGGACTAGTACCGAATTTGCACACGAAAATCACTCACAAAGAAAGCAGACTCGGCAGACGATGCAACATCCCCCAATGAAAAGCAGGGGTGTCACTAGCACGTTAAGAGACAATACAAAAAGTGTCAGGGGCCCGAGACCGTTCAACTGCCTCCCAGCATACATAAGGGGGATTACCAATAGACCCCTGGCTGTCTTCAAGCAGGCACTGGACAAGCACCTAAAATCGGTACGTGACCAGCCGGGCTGTGGCTCGTACGTTGGATTGCGTGCACCCAGCAGTAATAGCCTGGTTGATCAGGCTCTGATCCACCATGAGGCCTGGTCACAGACCGGGCCGCGGGGGCGTTGACCCCCGGAACTCTCTCCAGGTAAACTCCAGGTATACAACCACGAACTTGAAAATCTTAACCATCACCTACTTCATCGTCGCCTACAACACCGCTACCACCTTTACACCTAAAATCACCTAGTTGAACAAAAGACATACTCACCGCAGTTAATACCCCAGTGAAGACTGGTTCCTGAACAATGATGGGGTCTCCTGGGTTGAGCAACATGTCTGCAGCAATGGAGAGGGCATTGATACTGCCCATCGTCACCACAACTTCTGTCTCACACATTCTCGGAGGCTGGTGAAGATCTTCAGTCAGCTGCTTCAACTGCTGCACCAGCGGAGGGAACCTTGCGATATCATCAGTTATCATTATAGGTATAAGCGATAGTGTTGGATGGAGGTGAATTATTATTGAGCTCAATATGAATTATGAAAACGTCTCTCAGTATTATGTATGCTAAGAATTTACTTCAATCCATATTTTAAAGATAGTATTTTTCAGTATAGTGCTCGTAGGTGACATGCAGCTTCAGTTACTAATAATGCACAATTGATAGGATTTAAACGATATGAACCAAATGAGGCAGGTGTTTTTGGTCGGTGTCGCAGAGACATTTGTCCTGTATTTGACTCATACCATACCACAGCAGTATCGTGCATGTCGTATTAACCAGGTATAAGTATGTTGGCCAATGCCTACTAGGATGAGCCGACCATTCTGGTACTGCCTGGTTAACTTTGTGTTGTGGCTTTCTGAAGTTTGAAAAGGTGAGTTAAAGTGCTCGCATCTACAGACTCTTCCAATCACCAGATTCCCTTGCGCCTATAGTTAGCTTAGATCTGTCTCAGTATGGGTGTCCTGCCACTGTTGTAGCAGTGTGCCCTCTCACTTTCATCTCTTCATAACACTATTCAACATTAAGTTTAACTGTTCCTTAAACACTGTAAATAATGTACAGACGTTCTGGAGTTACGAATATGTTAACCCAAAGCTATTATACTGCTTTTCTTTTATTCCTATTATTGTGCTGTTTCGTAAAAGAGGCATGTACTGCAAGCCCTTTGAAAGGTAACTGCGTGGTAAAGGCGAATGCCAAGACATTTGTCACGAATTTATTATAATTATATTCACAATTTTTCTAAATATAAATTTTTTACTTCAATTCCACATTAATTGGCACTGCAGTTCACTCCTAACATGAGAGTGATTGGGCTAAGTGTACCAACTTTGCGTAGCTCAGCTGAGAGAGAATGGTCTCAGGTATACAATGTCTGTAATGGTCTAACGCCTCTGAGGTCCGTGTTCGAATCCTCTGTTAATTCAAGCGCAAGATTTTCTCTTTGAGGTCGAAATGAAAGTTATGCTTCTCTTCTCCTTTCTCCCTCTTTCCCTGTCCCTCGTTCTTCAAACTGTTCACAGGCTGGGTGGGCCTATTCCACCATCCAGGGACGGACGACGAATATAAGCAATATGTATGATTTCTGTGAAAAATGAAAGTTAATGTGAAAATGGTTTCGCCTACTGTGTATTGTATACCATTTTAATATAACTCTGTCAGGCACTGCAACACAATGGTATCTTGGTACAGAACAGAAAACACCTCGGACAACTTCTACAAGTGAGAGTAGTTAGATCTGAGAGGGACGTGACCTCTCAATGATTATACTTTCTTTCATCTATTAGTGGACTACATCTCACCTCCTGACAGTATGTAAGGCTCCATACTGTCACTTCAACTTAACATTGTTTCAGGCTATGGAACAAATATTCTTCTCCAGGCTGAGGGACTGACCACCTCAAAACTACATCTTCAAGGGTGATGGACTGATTACATCGTCTTCACATCTCTTCTGCATCTACCAACTTTTCTGTACCCGATTGAAGAAGCCTACTGTGTACGCGATACGTTCCGGAATCAAGATACCTAACTGTTTCACATGTGTCTTATCTAACAAAAGTAAATCACAATTCATTTCGGTCAGTCCTGAAACATTATGAATTTGAAAGTGACTTAACAATAGCATAAGCGAGAAAACTTATATTTTTCTTTACAAATTGTTAGTTAATTCTTAATTGTCCTCAACGACCTACCCTGCGGTGGATATGTACTGAAGAACCTTGACCATGAGTTCTTTGTCGATAATGAGTTTCTCTCCGTTCTTGAGGGTGACTGTGGCATCCTGGATAGGAAAGAGGGAAGGGTTTGGAAGTCCCCAACTCAGCAAAATTACGGGTGTCTCCCTTACAGCGATTTTATTTCCTGCAATAGTAGGATATAAGTCCGTAAGTACTAATATACACAATGTTAGGTAAATGGACACAGATGCAATTAATGTGACATTTTATTGTGGAAACGTTTCGTTCTCCATGAGCTTTGTCAAGCCGTTAACAATCATTAGCTACATTTATGTCCATTTACCTAACATTTTGTCGGTATTTCTACCATTATTACTAATAAGAAGATACTGTAGCTCACGGGACTTGAGGGGTTTGAACCCATGGTAAGCCAATCCTGTTACTAGTAGGCCTGTGAACTTCCCATTGTTAGTCTCAAAACTAGTTCTTCATGGGTTCAACACTTTTGTTGCAAGCTCTGTTTGCACCAAATTATTTTCATTCACGCATCTTCTCTCTTTTTCCAAATAGTCTAAGTATTTTCTGCAGTAACTATAGTCAGGAGTTTACTACAATTATTTAACAAAGAGCAAATAATTTGTATATTTACGCTGTCATTTGCTGATTTCTAAACTGTCACATGCGTAACTATACAAGAGTATTTATACATGCTGAGAAACTCTCTGTCTCACACCAACAAATATCCACACGCCCTTACACTGGCTTGCCCCCCACACACACCTACACACACCTGCGCACATACACACACACACACACACACACACTCACACACAGACACACACACACACACACACACACACACACACACACACACACACACACACACACACACACACACACACACACACACACACACACACACACACACACACACACACACACCTCTCTTCATCCGAGATTGTAGACTGAAGGAACAAGCTATCAACAAATACCCCATGGAAAAGTCCTCTAAGCAGTGCCTCCATGTCGTGATGTTGCCACGAATACACGCTAAGAGCAACATAAATGTTTCTACCATCAGCTGATTATCTATCAAAGACCTCACTACGAAACGCAGTCCCTCACCTCTAACTTCCACAGCCGACGTCTGCACCATCCCCTGTGGATACTGTCCCAAGATATATGTAGAAACAGGCAAAGATCTATTGGTCTGACTGAGAGAACATCGAAATGCCAGCAACAAATACTACTTAAGGTACGCCTGTGTCCTCCACAGGGACTCCACGGGACATTTGATGAATGGGGATGAGGCACGACTCGTCCTCATCAAACAAGACCTTAGACGCCGATGATGTCTAGAAGCCTCGCTAATTACCGTCAGCGACACAACAGAACGTAATACTGGAAACTATATTGTGTATCTGTCCTCATCCTAATATGGCACTGTGACTTACGAAATTGTAATGACACGAGCCGCAAAGACTCACTTGCAGCAAGTTCATTCCCCACCCGTACCGTGGTTTGTTAGCAATCTTGTCATTACGATCTCGTGAGTCATGATGACGGCTTTGAGGGGACCTGAGCTAGAGTTCGCCACGGTTACGCTGGCGGGAGTTTCATCTGTACAAACTTACATTTGTGGTCACAGTTTGACACATGCTAACCTCCCTTTATGTTATGTCTTAAAATTCCAGACCAGATTATTTGCAATCATGTTATTATGATACCGTGAGTCACAAGAGAAAGAAAGTTTTCACACTGCAAATTTTATCTGTAATCTGACCTCAGCATCAGTATTAATTAAAACAACCTAATGATCTTACTTAACGCTATCAAATCGCTGAGGTCGCGACGGAGGGCCACCTGGGAGAAGAATCGTCTGTAGTCCATAATGGGATGCTGTACTTGTGTTACTGTAGCTTTCGAGGGATGCTGCGATAATCTTGAGAAATTGAGATCGCGGAATGCTCTAGTGATCGTGGGAAGTTATACTGATCGTCTGATGCTATAGCGAACGCTGACTGCTGAACACTGTTTACTTGTGCTTATCAGGCAAGACGTGCCGAGACATCCAGTCGGCAGGACAGCTCAACCAAGCTGAGAGTCAGTGTTATGATTTTTACCACCGTGCTTGCTCTGTCTCTGTCTCTGTCTCTGTATCTCTGTCTGTCTGTCTGTCTCTCTCTCTATGTATAAGCTTGCATTGGGGTTCCATTTGATAGCTGTTTCTAACGATACCAGTACATTGTTCCAGATTATGGAGCAAAACTATTCTCCAGGCTGAGGGACTGACCATCTCAAAACTATGTGGTGACATGTACTTAGCTCTGTAAAGACCTGTTTGTGTGCTCTCTGTGAATCTGACCCAGGATACCCTCTCTTGAGCAACTTTACCAGCAGCTGAAAGAAGAGCTCAGGGTTGCTAAGCAGGAGATACGGCGATTAACGGAGGAGAACAAGAGGATTCGAAGTAATCCTCCTGTTGTGAGTCCCCAGATTAAGAGGGAGCTTGGTCAGTGGCCGGGCAACATGGAACCAAGCTGAGGATCAAGAAGACTGCTGGAGAGGCAGAAACAACGAGGACCCAGAAGGCTACTGTGGAAACTTCCAACCCATTTTCGGTGCTACCTGACGAATGTGGGTGTTCTACTGGGAATGTCACAACGAGCACCAAGGAAGCATTGGCTGACGTGAGTGAGACATCCCTAGAAACCCCAACGAAAACCATCGAAAACGTCTTGACGAATTCCACAAGTGAAGGTGTAGTGCTACCTAACGAGTGTGAGTCGACTACTGGGAACATCACGACGGACGTCGCCAAGGAAGGTAAAAACATTGTTGTTGTAGGGGATAGCCAGATTAGGTACATGGATAGGGCATTCTGCTTGAAGGATAGGAGTAGAAGGCAGAGAATGTGTTTTCCTGGGGCTGGGATGAAGGATATTGTTAGCCATCTGGATGACATCATGAGAGGTAATGGGAGCAATCCTATTATCTGTCTCAGTGCTGGAGGCAACGATGTTGGCAGACGTAGGAGTGAGGACCTGATTAGCAGGTATAGGTCAGCAATAGAGATAATTAGGAGGAAGGGTGGGAACCCTGTCATATGTGGTATTTTGCCAAGAAGAGGAGTTGGAAATGAATGGTTGTCCAGAGCAATTGGTGTCAATTGCTGGCTGGACAAATACTGTAAGGAAAATGCGGTAACATTCATTGACAACTGGGACCTCTTCTATGGCAGAAATGACATGTATGCCAGGGATGGGGTTCACTTATCTAGGTCTGGGGTGGGAGCACTGGCCAACGCAGTGGAGGGAGCTGTTAGGTCTTTAAACTAGGAATAGTTAGTGGTATGGGTTTTGGCGGGAAAACAGTGAAGTCACAGTGTAGTAATATGAGTACTAGGAGAACTAGTAATAGGCACAATGAGGTGAATATTGGAAAGCCAGTGGCACTAATTGACAAGGACAGTAATAGGTTTAGCGGAATAACAGAAAGGAGCAGGAAGGGTAAAGAGAAATCAGGGTAATTAAATATATATTACACAAATACTCATAGTGCTAGGAACAAGATGGACGAGTTGAGACTAGTTGCTAGTGAAGGTAACATTGATGTATTTGCCTTAACTGAGACGTGGTTCAATATGAAAAATCGGGATATGTCTGCGGAATGTCACATTCAGGGTTTTAAATTGTTCCAAGTAGATAGAAGTATTGGGAAGGGGGGTGGGGTGGCATTGTATGTCCGAGATCGCTTGAACTGTTGCATAAAAACTGGTATTAAGTCTATAGTAACACATACAGAGTCTGTTTGGATAGAATTTTCAGAGGGGCATGAAAAATTGATTTTAGGTGTGATATACCGTCCCCCAAACTTAGATAGGGACCAAGGGAGACTACTATGGGAGGAAATTGTTAGGGCCACAAGACACGATAATGTAGTAATTCTAGGAGACTTTAACTTTAGTCATATTGATTGGAATTTCTTGACCTGGAATTTAGAATCATACGACTTCTTAGAAGTATTTCAGGATTGTTTTTTGAAGCAGTTTGTGACAGAACCTACAAGGGGTAATAACCTGCTTGACTTAGTTCTGGCAAACAATAAATCCCTTGTTAATAATTTAGAAATTTCAGAGGAACTCGGTGCAAGCGACCACAAATCAATTACATTTAGCATTGAATTGAAGTACGATAGTAGGGATAACTCAGTAACAGTCCCAAATTTTCGCTTAGCAGATTATGATGGGCTTAGAGAACACTTATCATCTGTTGACTGGGGTAACGAAGAGAGCTATCAATATGACAGTTTTCTGAACACTATACATGCTGCTCAAAGAACGTTTATTCCGTATAAAGAAATTAGATCAAATAGAAATGACCCAAAATGGATGAATAATAGGCTGAAATATCTACTAGGGCATAAGAAAGGAATTTATAGGCGTATCATAAGAGTTGAGGGTCATCTTATGAATCAGTATATTGGCATTAAGAAGGACATTAAAAAGGGGATAAGAAAAGCTAAAGGGACTATGAAATTAAAGTTGCTAGGGATTCTAAAACTACCCCAAAAAGTTTTTTCCAGGTCTATAGAACAAAGGTTAGAGATAAGATAGGTCCCCTTAAAAATGACTATTGGCATCTTACTGACAAAGAAAATGAAATGTGCTCGATTTTAAATAATTATTTTCTCTCGGTTTTTACACAGGAAGACACTAACAATATTCCAGTAATTAATTTTTATAGTGGGCTAGAAGAAGATAAATTATGTAACATCACAGTCACTAGTGAATTGGTTGTGAAGCAGATAGACAGACTGAAGCAAAATAAGTCACCGGGTCCTGATGAGGTTTTTTCAAGGGTTCTTAAGGAATGCAAAATGGAACTCTGTGAACCATTAACTAATATTTTTAATTTATCTCTTCAAACAGGTGTAGTGTCTGATATGTGGAAGATGGCTAATGTAATATCTATTTTTAAAACAGGGGACAAGTCGTTACCTTCAAATTACCGGCCAATAAGCCTGACCTCAATTGTAGGCAAATTACTAGAGTCAATTATAGCTGAGATTATAAGAAGCCATCTCGATAAGCATAGCTTGATTAATGATACTCAGCATGGATTCACAATAGGCCGGTCTTGTCTAACTAATTTATTAACTTTCTTCAGTAAAGCTTTTGAAGCTGTTGACCACGATAAAGAATTTGATATTATTTACTTAGATTTTAGTAAGGCTTTTGATAGAGTTCCGCACCAAAGACTGTTAAAGAAAGTGGCAGCTCATGGCATTGGGATAAAAGTGCTCTCGTGGATCGAGTCATAGCTCACAGACAGGAAGCAGAGAGTGTCCATAAATGGGGTTAAATCCGAGTGGGGATCTGTAACAAGTGGTGTTCCACAGGGATCAGTCTTGGGCCCGTTGTTGTTTATAATATATATCAATGATCTTGATGAGGGAATTACTAGTGATATGAGCAAATTCGCCTATGACACAAAGATAGGTAGGATAATTGATTCAAACGTAGATGTTAGGGAACTTCAGGAGGATTTAAACAAACTCTATTCTTGGTCAGAAAAGTGGCAGATTCAGTTCAATGTAGATAAATGCAAGGTTCTGAAGCTCGGGAGTGTCCATAACCCTAGCACTTATAAGTTAAATGATGTAGAACTTAGCCATACAGATTGCGAAAAGGACTTGGGGGTTATGGTGAGCAGCAACCTTAAACCAAGACAGCAATGCTTAAGCGTACGTAATAAGGCAAATAGATTACTGGGATTTATATCAAGATGTGTAAGCAACAGAAGTCCAGAGGTCATACTGCAGCTTTATACATCATTAGTAAGTCCTCACCTAGATTATGCAGCTCAATTCTGGTCTCCATATTACAGAATGGACATAAATTCGTTAGAAAACATTCAGCGTAGGATGACTAAATTAATACATGCATTAGAAATCTTACTTATGAAGAAAGATTGAAGACTCTTAAGTTACATTCACTTGTTAGAGGAAGAATGAGGGAAGACCTGATCGAAGTGTATAAGTGGAAGATAGGTATTAATATGGGGGATATTAATAAGGTCTTGAGGATATCTCTCCAAGAGAGAACCCGCAGTAATGGATTTAAATTAGATAAGTTTAGATTTAGAAAGGACACAGGAAAGTATTGGTTTGGAAATAGGGTAGTTGATGAGTGGAACAGTCTACCTAGTTGGGTTATTGAGGCTAGGACTTTGGGTAGTTTCAAATTAATACCTATCTTCCACTTATACACTTCGATCAGGTCTCCCCTCATTCTTCGTCTAACAAGTGAATGTAACTTAAGAGTCTTCAATCTTTCTTTATAAGGAAGATTTCTAATGCTATGTATTAATTTAGTCATCCTACGCTGAATGTTTTCTAACGAATTTATGTCCATTCTGTAATATGGAGACCAGAATTGAGCTGCATAATCTAGGTGAGGCAATATTCTTACCTTCCTTGGTGTCGTTCGTCGTGACGTTCCCAGTAGTCGACTCACATTCGTCGGGTAGCACTGAGAATGTACTAGATGTTTCCACAACAGTTTCCACGGCAGTCTCTTTCTTCTTCATCGTTTCTACCTTTCCATTCGTCTTCTTGATCGTCAACTTCGTTCCCTGCTGTCCAGCCACTGACCAGTTTCCTTTCTTGACCTGAGGACTCAAAACAGGAGGACTACTACGAATCTTCTTGTTTTCCTCGGTCAGTCGCCAAATCTTCATCTTCGCCATCCTCAATTCTTCCTTAAGCTGTTGGTAAAGTTGCTCGATGGAGGGCATCTTGCTTCAATTCGTACAGAGCGCGCAAACAGGTCTTCACAGAGCTAAGTACACGTCACCACTGTTGTCTTGGTTTCAGGTTACTGATAATCAGAAGTCCTAAATCCCTTTCGCACTCAGTAATATTAGGATCTACATTATTTAGTTTATATGTGGAATGGTTATTATCCTTTCCAACATTTAGGACTTTGCATTTGTCTATATTACACTGCATCTGAAACTTCTCCGACCATTGCATTAGTCTATTCAAATCATCCTGGAGTGTTCT